TGTTTCCATCGGTTGCGTGGAAGAACGGGGTGACCTATAATAACAAAATTTCAGCCATCATGTTGTGGCCTTCTTCAAAGTAGCAGTATAGCTCTGAAGAAGGCCACAACACGATGGCCGAAACGTCAGCTCGATCGACTGATACGGGGTTCATTCTAGACAGTCAAGAATCACATAACACTCTTGCTCGAGGAACGAAACATTGACTTATTTTGGTAGATCATTCGCAATTAATTGTACGGCCGAAACCAACTACAAAATGGGTCTTGGAACTGATGTAATGAACAAATGTTGGCAGGGAAGCTTTCATTCTAATTATTTTAAAATTGTATTAAAATCTAGTGTTTACACTATTTAACCGGTTAATAATAACATAAAATAATGTGTCTGGAACCCACTACCACCCATTTAAAGTAAAAATCACAAAATTTGGTTTATTATAAAGTTAAAATTTCTTTCTGAACAAAAACCTTTAATGTTGTAAGTGTATAAAGATACATATTTAAATGACATATAGTATGAAATAGTAATCTAGCTTCTTGATAGAGTAGCGAATGCAGTAATCTTTGAAGAACAATAGCAGCGTGTGCGGGCACCTTTACCAGAAAACTATATGAAAAACACGTATTTGGTGCTACGAAACGACTCGTGGAACCATGTATCAACTTGGTTGATTTGAGCTTTGGAGCGCGCCGGTGTAGCGTGGAGGGGCGGCAGCGAGATTAAATAACGGGGCCGGGGCGGCCGGCGCCGCAACAGGAGCCCGAGATTTATGTGAGAGCCCCTGCTCGCGGCCGAGGCAGGGCGAGGCGCGGAGCAGCGCAGCGCGGGCGAGGCTGGGATGGGCTGGGAGACACGGGGCGGGGCGAGGCTGTGGCGGGGAAGGGCGGGGCGGTGGAAGCGCAGCACAGGTGGAGGTGCGCCGGGGCTGCGCGGGTAGAGGTGCGTGGCGTGCCGTGTCGTGGCGTTGCGGGGCGCGACGCGACGCGGCGGCATTGCATGGTGGCAGCGTGGCGGGAGAGGGCGTGGCGGGCGGGTAGAGGTGCAGTGGCGTGGGATGGTATAGAGTGTGGCGGGGCGCGGCGGGGCGAAAGTAGAGGTGCGGCGGTGCGGGCCGGCGTAGCGTATGCGCGTAGGTGGGTTTGGTAACGCTGTGGTCGGGCGGAGTTAGCGAATAGAGATGCGACGGGCGGCGCGGGTAGAGGGGACGATGGCGGGGCGTTGCTGGGAGTTGCGCGGGGCGGACGTGGAGGGCATGACGGGCGTGGCGGGAGGGCTAGAGGTGCGTCCGGGTGAGTGCGTGAGTGTGGTGGGTATAATTGTGCGGCGGGGGTGGGCGAGAGTGCGGACGAACGCGCGGGAAACGGTGAGGGGAGATGGGATGGACACGGACCCAAGCGTAACACGGGGCGGCGCGTGGAGGACGCGGGCGGGGGCGCATGCCCGAGACGGCGAGCGGCTGCCTTGCACACACACACACACACACACACACACGCGCGCGGGGGGGAAATAACTCTCCTGCTGCACTCGGGAACGCGCCTAAGCGGAAAAAACGCTAAGCCAGACGGACATCCAAAACCGTGTAACCCTATTTTCCTAGAACAAGTAATATTATTTGAGCACAATCAAGTAACCAGTGTACTACATATACAGAAGTAATTCAATGTTCACTATTATTATTATTATTATTATTATTATTATTGATTTTATAATTACTATCTCAGAAGACTTCTTTTATTTTCAACAGATTTCGTTTACATTGCTTGTTTTGAAACATAACACACGTGCTCGACGTGACACATTTATACACAGGTGGAACATTTATGTTCGTTATGAAGTTTGATTTTTCAGGCAAAGGCGCTGAATAATACACCAATAATTCACAATAAATGTATTTCCACCTCTAGCAGCCGAGTCACCGGTAATTGAAGGTTGATGACAATCATCTTCAATATCAAAGAATATTGTGCTGATATAAACCAATGGCATTGAATACAATGATTTCAGAATAAACAAATAGGTGTACCATTTACCGTTAAACTGTCTTGCATCAGTAAAATTGCTGATACTATATAAAACAATAAATATAGATCTCATGATCTGAACTGGCTTATACTTGCAGGCTAATTCAAAGCAGTGTTTGTGATGTGTGTTGTTTACTTGTACAGACCTTGCCAGTAAAGATCTTAATCTTATGAACTTTTTTACCAGTCTAAGGTAAAGAAAACAACCAATTTTATACTTGATAGTTATTTGAATATGAATAATCTCTAATGTATTTACTTCCAATTTCATTTCAATGTCCATTCCAGTATCATCTATTTATGTGACAGTCCTGATGTGGAATTGATCCCGTTCATCGAAAGATTTGCTCAGCCTGAAGGGAATCGGATCGTATACTATATGAACCTAGTCATCAGCCTCTGTGCATGCGCAAACTCCAAGGTTTCATGTTTTCTAAGCTATCAAGGACGAGCCGCGTCACTGACATAGTGACTAACGTTTCGGCCAGCGTATTGTGGCCTTCTCCAGTTCGCTCTGAAGAAGGCTGTATGCTGACCGAAACGTTAGCCACCATGTCAGTGACGCGGCTCGTCCCGGATAGCCCGGACAACACAAAACCCGGCCACGAAAGCCTACCCAACCATATCCAAGGTTTCATTCCAGATATAACTGAAAACGCTACTTCACTAGAATTAGCGAGTGTAACAACGTGACGTGCTGGCTTCAAGTCACGTGATCGTGTAAACGGGATATTTTCTCAGGTGTGGCGACAGAGTATGCTACTAACTCTATATTTCCTAAAAGCATCACTATGATAGACAGTTCTAGTCGAACAAACGAAAGCAAATCCAAAGGAAGTTGCGTTTGGGGAATTTAGCGTTAGAAGCGCACTCCGCTGCCGCAGTTCGAAGCTACTTCCGTTTAGAATTCTTGCGGAAACCATCTCTTCATACTTGACGTGTTGCAGGTCACAGGGTTGCCTCATTACGTTTTCAACTTCGCTGTGCAAAACCGTCCCACGAGCAGCGTTATCATCGTCCATAAATGTTGCGCCTCCGTTTGCGTTGGCAGGTGGAGCAGGGGCTGCGCCTGTACAGCCAGCACAAGCAGCAGGCGGCCGTGCGCAAGTGGCGCAGCGCTCTCAAGCGCATCCGCAAGCGCGAGGATAAGTTCACGCTGCTCGGCTACCTCTACCAGGCCTACATGGACTGGGGCAAGTACAGGTGGGTTGCAGCCAACGCCTGCCCTCGGCGAGCTATTGTTGCTTTCCAACCATTCCATGAAGCTGTTCCTGATTTAATCACACCAAGGCGGCGTTCACTATAGAGTAGATTTTGGACATCATTTTAGTCGCCGGTTTTGGACCGACGTTCCGGATTCGTTCAGCCACAAGATGGCTAGAGACCGGATTTTTATGAAATTACATATTTTCTGGCTGTGCTCGTGCCGTTTTCAAATTTGTAGTCTTAGCAAATCGTCGCCATCCTAACACAATATCGAATTTTTTCATTAATATTTGGTACTATATTACATTTTTTACATATTTTGGTGTATTCACAAAAAAAATTATTTTATCAATTTTTTTAATTTAGTACATATTTTTTTATGAAAAGAAATATTTTTCTAAATCAACATTTTCCTCTACATTATTACTGCGTGATGGGTACTCCAGATACCCTACGTGAAGACACGTGATGTTCTCACCGTCCGGCCCGCTTGTTTCAGTTATCTTAGAGGCGGGAAAAGCGCGTCACGACTGAGATCATTTCGCGTGTAGAAGGTATCACTGGCGTAACAAGTATCACGGTTCGTCACCTTTAACCTCACTTTTTGACAAAGTTTGGTGATCGCCGACTTGTAACGCTTCGAAGAGAATCCTGTTCACTGCAGTGATCGTAGGCGTAGATATCTCCAGTTTGTACGATGTCTTCTATTGTGTGACGTAGTGAAATAAGAAATAAATTTCAATAACAAAATAAAAATAATATATTCAAAGATTATGTACAAGTTACAATGAATTGCTAATATTAAAACACTCCGGCAACCTTTTCCTTTCGGAACACTGCTTTACCGCAGAAAATACAAGCCACGCGTGATGCGCGCCGTCGGACCTCTGTCCCGTGACAATTACCGTCACATGGCCTGACGCCAAAAGTTAACCCGGTCGTGGCGACCGTGTGCCTACAGCACGTGAGATTGTCTGGCCCTTACTCTCCGGACATCTCGCCCTCACTCCTACACCCTCCTTGTGCATACACGTACAAGCTATCCGATGCAAACTGAATGAGAACGCGGGCGCAGATGGCGCCGCGTTAAATAGTTGAGGCTGACACCCCCACCACTGTTCCATAGATAGGCCCGCCATCTGGCGCGAGGCTCGCAGGCCAGCCTTTGGTTTACGCCCACACACAGAATTCTCAGGTTGGCTCGCCTGCTTCCGGTTGAGGCACGCTAGCTAGCCTCCTCGGAGTTTACAGCCAACGGTATTTTTGTGGCTCTGCGGCTCTACATGAGTCAACCGCCAGAGCGCAAACTCCGGATGTTCAGGCTTAACTCCTTCCTCCCCCGCAGCGTACTTTCACCAACCTAACGGTTCTGGCCCTCGTGTTAACGACGCCACAATTGCGTCAAGTTTGCCTGCAAAACTACGGTCCTGGATAGCAGTAGATGAAGCTTTTACTACTGACGGGAAATTTGTATGTTGCAAATTGAGCATCAACTTGTGCTCTCCAAATGATTTTTAAGACGTTTGTATAATTTTTAAAATTCGTTTGGGGAATGTTTTATCTATGTAAATTCGTATTTTGTTAATTTTTTTATAAATAGTGGATTTTAATGTTACATTATACATCGGATTCTACATATTTATTTCATTTTTTGCCGTTTTCCTTAAATATTTATGTACATATTTCGACTTTTTATCGAACTCTAATGATGGCAAACAGAAGTATTCATAGCGAACCCAAACGTCCTCTTCCGATGACGTCCAAAAACATCGACTGTCGGACGAAGATTTGTTTTGTTTGATTTTGTCCGTGCACGTCAGCAGGCATCGTTTTCAGTCAAAATCTGCTCCAATGTGGCCACCGCCTAAGGATTTATGCATTTCCTTCCGACGAACTATTTCGGCGTTTTAGTGAACGAGCGCACATGCGCGTGGTCGCTACAACTCTGAAATAGTCCTTCGAAATGAAACTTGCAAATCCTGTAGTTACGAAAAGAAAGCATGGAAACGGTGTAGCTGTCCAATTGCCACCAATCCGACACCTTTTGGGGAATTACGTCGGATATTTCCCGCACAGTAAATAATTGTCATCCATGATGTGACATACTAGTTGGTGTTTAGCAACTGAATTTAATAATGCAAGCTGTCACCGGGACCGGAAATCCCATCTGGGAAAGCAACTGAGCGTTAACCAGAAGATCCATGTTCAATTCCCTATCGGTTCTCGACCATACGGTATTCCCAGTCTGGTTTTGGAGTTTAATGTTTTAAATAATGTGTTGTAGCTAGTCACACATATACACGGTCTTTATTGGATCACATCAAGGAACACAATAACATATGTAAATAAACAAGGGTCTGCTTTCTAATGAGCGCTTGCAGTCTTAAACGATACCAAGAATAGTGACAGTTATTGATGTATGATTTTATGATTCGAATTGCTGAGATTATGACAAAAGACAAGAGGCTAAGGCAAAAATAAGTCAGAGGTAGTTTGGGCTAGATATAATACAGTTAGCATGCACTTGATCTGCTGTTGTGAATAGTGCTAAGGTGAACATGATTGAGGGGGACGTGTCAGGGCAATCTTACTTTTCCAACACAAAGGGCTCCAGTATGCTATTCTGTCGAGGAAAGGGGTGTCGCCCGGAACGTTTTCCATAATGCACGTATTATGCCTCGTCAGTGATGCAAGTATTGTGATGTTGTATTGTCCTAGAACCGGAACTAAGGACTATTGGTTAGGCTCGGGTTCAAAGCACGTGAATTTTCCTCTTTGTAGGCCTCTGCCAGTGTAATTTTTAGCCATCAGTTAGTATTTTACGGCACATTTCACATTCATTGAACCAGGCTATTCTAACAATGGGCTCACTATATTGTATATTACGCATAATAAAATATAAATAAGACTTAAAAAATAATGTTTATCCTGCATTACTACCAAGGTACATTTATAATGTCCTTTGTATCTTTCTTTGATGTAAAAATTTATATGCAGTAAAACCTGACCCATGCGATCAGAATTGGTTCTGGAAGAATTGGGCATAAGATCAGGTGGCCGCCTAATGTCTGTTGTAAGAACTGCGGAAGCGGTTCTCCGGTGTAAGTTTTCTGTTTGCCACAAAGTTAAATAACCTTATGTTAGTAATATTTTTTATTTTATATTTATTACTAGAAGCTTTGGCGCTTGCGAACCTAAACAACTTCTTAACAAAGTCATTACATTCTTCACTTTGACTGTCTTTTCTTTTTCATAATCGTAAACTTGATTCCCATCTAGGTTTGAAGGCTCCATTTTGCAGCATTATTTCTAAAACTTGCTAGGATGTTGTGACCATCTAATGCAGGTTAATCTACAAAATGTGCCTGGCCGCTGACTGCTATACAGGTGATTGCTTCAAAGAGAAAATATTTACATATGCCTTACGAATACACTGGTGGATATAATAGAAATTCTCGAACTCTTTGTAGGTTATATAAATTAATAACGACTATCTTACAATTCAAAATATCCTTTTCAAATTCAAGGAGTTGCAATATCAATCATATCAATCGGGGTAAATGTATTTTGATGAAATACAATTTTTGATATTGAATGTCCCAACTGAAGAACAATTTAACAACTTTTAATCGGAGAATAAATAAACAGTTCGGTCAATAGGAGCCAATGCACATACAGTTCATACATTTTATCTCCAAATTTGTTCAACTGTGAATCCAGAATAGCAAGTTTCAAACGTAATTCAAAATGAAGCCATCTCCAAGTGCGTGTTGCCAAATTCCGAGAATGTATTTGTAGCGTAGTCAAATGCCATGCTTGTGGTAGCTGTTTATGCAGGAAGTTAGTGGGCGTATCGTGTAACACGTCCCTCCAGAAATCCCTCTGCACCCAGCGGTTGCGTTGGCAACACTTGTATAATTTCAGTTTCTATAGCGAGATGGCTAATCACAAAGCAAAGCCATATGCGCGTGCGTTGTTAGAATTAACTCTCCACGTGAAAGAGAAGTAGATTAATAATGGAACAGCATTGCTCTGGTGAATTCAACTCCAAGTAAATTTCATGGAAGGATTTTGGAAAGCCTGAGAAATGTTCACAACCTGGTTTGGAATAAAACCACAATTTTTGTTCGCGAAAATAAACTTGGAATATTCAGAAGCATTATAAAGTAATTTTCACAACCTGTGTTTAGTGTTGTTGCTTGTTACATTTTGTTTTAAGTAAACAGTGTCAAATTTATTTTCATTCACTTGAATGTGATAAATACTTATTGAAAAGGGCCATGTAAGCAATCTATGTGTAAATTTACAAATGTAACAACTATGAAATAATCTTAATATCTTCGTGTTGTTAGAACTGAGACGTAACATTTGTCAAAAACTAATTAAAGAAAATAAATGAAAAGTATCTCATTTCAAATTAAAAATCAATTAAAGTGAGATAGAACTCTTTCAAAGAAGCGGAACATTAAAGGGTGGTGAGTAACCTTCCTGTTGCCTTTCTCAATTTGCCAATTCCTACAGTCATCCTTCAACAAATGTCCTTAACAGTTTCCGTAAGATAACCCAACTATCACATTCAATAATTTAATTGACAACTGATGTAAAGAGACAGGGATTGGAGCGAACCATAGGTTTTATAATGAGTCTAGTGAAACTGAAATAGATGTAGACAGGAACGCATTAAAGTATACATTTATACACCAGCGCCACGCCATTTTCCTAAAGAACCTCTTTAATACCGAAGCACTCCCAAGAGATCCTCAGATCCGTCTTGAAGCTAATCGAAGACACGGGAGCTTTCTATAGGAAAAACAAGGGCTCAGGGGCAGAGAGACCTTCACTGCCCGTCCACCTTCTAATGCCCGCGTCCGCAGCACGTGTGGGAGACGGATGTGCCGCAGCGGCACACCCACGGGTGGGGGGCTGCGAGCGGTCGCGCATCCTGTGCACAGTGCGCAGTGCCCAAAAGTAAAGGCGCGAAAATCTATATTTTGATC